GAGGGTCTGAATTGGATTAATATGATTCAGGACAGGGACCGATAGTGGGATTTCGTGAACAAGGTAATGAGCATTTGAGTTCCATAAATGCGGTGAATTCTATTGACTAGTCGAGACTACTGTTAATTTCTTATGTAGGGTTTTGCTTCTTGGAACTACAATTATTATTGTCATTTAAGCACTGTATGCCTGTCAGAGACAGATGAAATGGAGTAGTTAGCATTTCTATCAATTTCTAAGAATGTTGAAATCGAATGGTGGTCAACTATTTGTTTACATTCGGATAAATTCGCAAATAATCTCGTTTCAGAGACTTGCTATGTTATCTGAGTTTTTGTAATAGTTTTATTACTTTTCTTCAGGTAAATGAGAAAATATCTTAGAATAGGCCACGACTACTGACTTACACATGCTTTGAATCTATTAGCCACAGTCACCTAACAATTCGAATCTGTATAAAGAATGTAGTTGGAAGAGCATCTTTAAATAAGCCAAGAATCAACGAGTAATTAATCTTTATTCTCCTACATTAATTATTGTTTTGTATATCGACGTTTTTTATCATGTGGTTGTATTCTAGGTTACGGCGTCGTGTTTTATGATTGGCTTGTTTGATGCTTCTCTCATCAGGCTGATGATCTCCTTTATCGCCCTAATGATGGAGGCATCAAACACCTCCGAAACGTAGGTTTCAAGTTGCAGAAGTTTATGGAGTTAGGAGGAGTGGGAAGGCGAGTGTTATTCGTGAGTAGTTTGTGGTGGTGGAAGCTTCTGTGATCTGTTTGAGGATAGAATCTCCGCATTCTCATGGAGACGCTATGGAGAATCACGAGTCTGTTCGTACAATTATGGAAAGACAAGCAGAATTCTAAATCGTGCCTGTGACATATATGGAAAGAGGACAGTATAAAGCCAGGAAAAGAATTACAGTTTATTGAAGTAAATGACTAGATAATGGTTGAAATATGTAGTAAATGCATTGTATGTATAATGAATCAAAGGAAGAATGATGTGGACAGCTGGAGGATTTGGAAACACTTTCGTCTGACATGGAAATTGTCCATGGACTATACACCGCAGAAGATGATTATATAGAAAATTTGTTCATAATTTTTACCCTTTATGATCTGAATTTGTTTGGCGTTTGATTATATCAGCATTAGAAATGGCTTCCGACATCTCCCAACGTTTAAATCTGTTCGTGACATTTCAAAAACATAAATTGTACGTTACCATGATATATATGAACAGATTTCGTGCTGTATTCTGATGGTGAGACACGGATTTTTTGACTACCTTTGAGGTAGGATTAGGCCCAGTTAGTCTTAAACACGACTCTAGGTGAAGAGTGCTTGTGTTCACGCTCCGGTCGCATTTTCCCCCTCGAATAGACCCCCAATAGTCATTGTATTCAAATCTGGGTGGTGCCAGAGACGGTCTGAATGCTGTGGTTGTCAGGATTCGAACCCACGATCACCGAGCCTGCAGCAGCCAGCTCTGTACTAAGTTATTTCTGTCCCCTATTTAAACCTTTAATTCCCAGTGGTAACCATACGTACCGCCAGATTTAACAATCTGAAGCTGTGTATTTTGTATGTATGGATCTTGTAGGATTATCGTTGTGAACTGCGGTTAACTCCTTAGGTGGCATTAACTAGTTGATATTTGTAACGGTGAAGAGGTGTGTTTTCTTCGCGGTACGAACTGAATTCTTAAAATATTGCTGGCTTCTGTCGTGGGTAGACGACGGACACGTGTTTTATGGCTATCGTATGAATATTTTGATTTCTTTATAGGCGCAGCTCAGTAAGAATGAGACAGTATTGACGAGATGTTTCAGAACTGTTGGCTTATTTGCCAGTTGTTTAATAACTGGATCCGTGGCATAAATCCGCGCTTTTTTTACTTACAACAGTCATGCCATACACTATCATGCAATACGCCTTAACCTACACAGTTTCCTGAAAAAAACAACATTTTTTAAAAAAATACTGTTAAAAATTCCGCGAAGTCTAGTCGTGGTTGACCTAGATGCTTTATATAAGGAAGTGACATTGTTCTTTAACTCGAAAATTGTTGTGAAATATGAACACGCAATTAGAGACAGTTCCCAACACGAATGCTGAATGTTTAGAAGACAGGCTTACGGTATCAAGTCTGTGTGATAATTCTTACCAATAACTTTTGAATGAAAGGATTTTCACTAAATTTGGTGTAGAATTGGAGTTCATATTTGTACTTTTATCCATGGCACTATATATCGCGTGAATAACGGGATATCTGTCCGTCTGTCTGTTTCATCTCTGGAATTCAATTAAATTTAATGAAAGTTGGCTTACTTCGGTATGTATGGCCTACGTGGTACTTAACCTCAAATCGAGGTTTTACGATTTTCCCAAGAACTGGCATGAAATACATAACAGTTTACAAACATGTTTTGTTTCCGTGGACAGAGTCACATAAACCTCGATGTGCTACACTTAGGGCCAGTAGTCTGGTATTTTTGCATTTACGCATTGTTAAACGCTTTCGTTTCATTCACTTTAACTAATTTCAAAACCCATATTATACTCATACGAATAAATATAATTTTAGAAATGCATTTATATTTTTTTTTGACATATTGGAGTTGGGGAGATTTGTACGTATTTAGAAAATATTTTTGTTATTTGTTAAAATTTCAATCACTGTTACTGATTTCGATAAAATCTCTAATATTTATTAAGCGTGCGTCATCGAAAGTGTTGTACAAGCTCCTGCCATCATGTAACAGAGTTTACGGTCCACTTAAGACATGTTTAATCGAGACACACCTTTCCAATGTCACCACGAGGAGCGCGTGAGCCTGTTTTCTTGTTCGTCATGGTGAATTCAAATGAAACAGATTGCGACTCTGCTCATTGTATCTGTATTACAACAGAACTACATGCAAGAAATGGCCATGAAGTGCAATGAGCTGTGCAAAGTTGCAGAGAAAGAAATTTGTTGCCTGTGGCTCCAATCGAAACTCATTCTGCTGTCTCCCTCTCTCCATACGTCAGTCAGTCCCCTGCTCCATTAACAGGATCATACAGTAATTGACCGATTTCGACGAAAATGGGTGTGAAAATCACGCAACTAGACGTCTCTGCATCCTGCTGATACCTTTCAACGACTTGCCATCACGAAAATCAATATGGCGGCGTTCGAACTTGTAAGAAGCTAACAGAAAGATACGAGGTGCGATCGGAAAGTTTCAAGACTCTGTCAATAGAGGGCGAACCGGATGTAGTACGAGCTTCTGCCGCTAGGGGGTGCGGCCTACATTCATAGTGAATCAGTGTGCCAGCCGGCATCATCGAATTAGCATTTGTTTCTTAGTTACGGGCGTTTTGGTAGTGCATTACACCGACCCTCCTGCGATTTCAGGAATGGCGTGTGCATCAAATTTTGCCAAAGACTCGCCAAAACGGCTACGGAAACCTATGAAATCCTAAAGCAAGCATTTGGGGAGTCCGCAATGGGTCGTGCACAAACGTTTGTGTG